GGTATTGTGGATACGGTGCGGAGCAGCACACTGAAGTGCGCCCCGTTGAGTAACCTCTTGAATTGCCTCCGTTTTCGGACTGAAATTGTTTGGTGGTGGGATATGCTATGTTTGGGATGTTGGTCCTATTAGAGAGGTAGAGGCCACTTTAAGCGGAGCGATAGAGATAGCGCTGATTTCAGCTCGAGGCCTGGTGGGCGAGAAGGGCTGTGTTGAGCTACACCAAGGGAAACCCCTGGGAGACTCTCGGGGATTGATAGAGATCTCCCATTGAGTCGCTCGGGTTTGTCGACAGATGGGTTTGGGTACGATAGTGACATCGTCTCTGTATATTCCTTGGTTGAGAATCCATAAGTGTTTGTCCCACATTGTTGGCTGAAAATGCCTTCAACAGCTAGCCAACTTTGGAATTGTTGGCCGAGTAGTTTTCCTGGTTGGGGAAATTTCGAACGAGGATATATATGACTAAAGCCGATATCATTACGATTAAAGATGAACAATTCCTGATCTGCTGGTGCCTGCATTTTGAGACTGATCCCTAGATTTTCAGGCCCAGGTCGTCCTCTTCTCTATTGCTCATACGAGTAGGGCGAAAAGTGCAAATACCAATATTGATGTGCTTGCTTTTTCTCTCACTCCAATGAGTCAAGGTTTCGGGCTCGTGTTGCTGGAGTGCAGCCTGGGCCCTTTTCAATAAGATACTGGCTATTTAACTATTGAAGCCTGTCACTGAGGCTGGTGTAAACCGTGGATCGTTGCTTGAGGCGATTGATCGGAAGAACGACATCCAAGACAGTTGAATGAAACATTATTAGCGCGACGAAACGCGCAGGCCGTGCACTCGCGTTTACCTTCTCGACAACCTCGACCCTAACCCTGACGCGGGGCTAACGTATCCCACTTCCTTAATTTGGAAACTTTATCGTTGAACGCCAAGATTTCGCACCTGATTAGGTTAGTCACTTGTTGCCTATTTTTTTTTTCTCTTCCCCTTCTATCTCTCATAAAGTTGTGGCCGTGATCTTTTTTCCTCTTCCTCCCTCCCCACCCACCATCTTTCTCTCTCATCCATTTTCCGCCGTCTCTTTCATCCGTTCTTTTGGGAGCATTTTTTCAATCTCATTTTTTCTTTCTGGTTTAATAGTACCAATTAATCCTTGGACTAAAATGTCGTCTCTTCTTCCGATCGCTCTTTGGAGTCTTCATGTCTCGCCTGGCCAGAGTCCTGTCCCGGCCGTTGACGCTTTTCCTGCTACTGTGAGAACTTCGCTTCGTTTACTCGCTTCCCTGGAAATGCTGACTAGCGCAGGTCCGTTTGACCATGGCAGCAATTGATCCTTCCGCTAAGCCTTATGAGGCGGGAAAACCGAAGCGTGCTACCTTAAAGTTTTTTTGCGAACGCATTGTTGATCCTGACGACGATTCCGACGACGATTTAGGGGAAGCATCAGACGAAGAGGAGAAGGAGGTAACAAAGAGCTCGCTCAAGGGCAAGCAATCGCCCAAAAGCAAAACGAGTAACGACGATGCGATGGATGCTGAGAGCTCCGATGACGATCTTGACTCCTCTGGCGAAGACACTGACTCCTCTGAGGTGTTGGAGTCTTTCGTTGTCTGCACTCTAGATTCCGATAAGGTAGGGTCTTTGCACGGTACTATTTTGGGAATTCATGGCTAATCTCTCTTAACAGCACTATCAACAAACCCTTGATCTTGTCATCGGCGATGATGAATTGGTTTACTTCAAAGTTGACGGAAACTACGATGTCTATCTTACTGGTAACTACGTTGTTAGCCCCGGAGATGCTTATAAAAACAATGGTGAAGCCGATGGCGACTACGATCTCTCTCCCGATGAGGATGAACTTTATTCTGATGAGGAGACCGACTCCGACGAGCTTGATGACCTTGATGACCCTCCACGCATCCAAGAGGTTGACACTGATGAAGAGGAGGCCGTGAAAGCTTCCAAGGCTGCAGCTTCCACTAATTGCGCGAGTAAGAAGGACAAGAGAGTCGAGAAGGTTGATAAGAAAGCGGACAAAAAGTCCCTGAAGCGCCCGGCCGAGGATGAAGAGCCTCGTACTATCGATGAAATGATCGAGGGAGAGAAGATTTTGTCTGAGAATAAGGGTGAAGCCGAGAAGAAGCTTTCTAAGAAGCAACTTAAAAAGCTCAAGGCGAATGATGGCAAGGCGGTTGAATTGGCTGCTGATTCCAAGGCCAAGGAAGCTAAGAAAGTCCAGTTTGCTAAGGAACTTGAGCAGGGACCTACCGGGTCCCCTGTCACTGCCGAGAAGAAGGAGAAGAAGATACCTAGCGCGAAGAGAGTTATCCAGGGTGTCACTGTTATGGATAGCAAGGTGGGAACTGGGGATACCGCCAAGAAGGGTAGCAAGCTTTGCATGCGCTACATCGGCAAGTTGGAGAATGGCAAAATCTTCGATAGCAACACGAAGGGCAAGCCTTTCGCTTTCCAACTAGGCAAAGGCGAGGTGATAAAGGGCTGGGATGTCGGGCTTGAAGGAATGCGTGTCGGAGGCGAGCGCCGGCTTAATATCCCGGCTGCTCTGGGCTATGGAAAGCAGAACATTCCTGGAATTCCGGCCAACAGCAACTTGATTTTTGACGGTATGGTTCTTTTTCTGTAATATCCCCGAAACTACCAGTGCTAACTTTTTTCTTTTCTCTTGATAGTCAAACTCACCGACATCGAATAATCCCGCTCGGCAAGGAAGAAAAAGGGGTTTTTGAGAAATTATGGACTCTTCCCTCTTCTTTCATGAATGTTTTATAAAAAAGGGTCATTGTGTAAATTAATTGAACTTTGTCCCAGCGTCATCGCCTATGACGTCTGGCTGTGCTCCGGAGTATACCTATTACCAATTGTTTTTTTGTTTGCTTGCGGTCTCCTTTCCAAAGCCAAAAAGTTTTCTCCTTTCAGTTCTAGTTGCTATCATATTCATGGGGTATCCGGACAAGTCAGCTGTGGCTGTGATTGCTTGCGCTTACTTTTTTAAGTGTTTTAAGTGTTGAGGGGTTGGTTGTGATAGGTCGGGTTCTGGGTCAGTGGCCCGGGTGTAGCTTTGCAGCCTGGCTTTGAAAAAGAAAAAAAAAACATTTTCGGATGAACTCTGCTTGCTTGCTTGCCTGTTGAACGGGAGATGCATTGCGTTGTGCGGTGCAGTGGGGGGGGATAGAGGCGAATTCGGTATGAATAAAGGGAACCCTGGGTTTCAGTCGCATGCCTGTGCCCATCTACGAAATCTCATTGATGCCTACAATGCTCATATCCGGCGGTGGAGCCCAAATACTGTATTTGTGCTTTGTGGCCAAGACTTATCTTCGCAATGTCAGGTGTCACGACGCTCCAATGCACCTCCGTTACTAGGAGCTATAGCGTTAGTGATTCCTTGCCCGGTTCGTTGCTGGGGGGTAGTTATAAGGGCTCTGCCATTATACGGTCTTGTCTTTATGACAGGAGAAGTTATGGAAAGGCGATGTGAGTTCCCCGGCTACTGCTGATTTATTTTCTTTACGATAATAATACTGTTATGGCGCCCTCCTCGCGGTATTCCAGGGCCAGGGTGTCGTATGATATGTACAGTATCATACTGGTCTCAGCCGTGGTTGATGAGCCAGGAAAGGTACTGGGTTTGGGTTGTTGGTTTAATATCGGTCTCGTTTGCATGCTTGGGAGAGCAGCGAAGTTTGATGGGAGGCATAGTGGGGATTGGGTGACCGTGGGATTGGGGGGGGGCGCTTTGTCATGTTTTACCGGGGCTGTACATACAGTGCTTCCGTGGGTTACATGCAGGTCCATGAAAGGATTCCTGACTGGAGTTCTTGATCAAGGGTGGAGGGTTTGAAAACAGGTTAATGGCATTTTTCCTCGTTGGTTTGTTATCATAGCTTAAATATTAGTTTTGTAATCATGGTATCTCACTCGCTATGGGAATTCGCTGCAAGTGATAGTACGGTAGGTTTGGTGTCGGTTAGTCTACATCGAACGATTGTTCAGAAGCGCAACCTCTATGACGGGACAGTATAGTTCCGGTTGCTACCTTTACCTCCTCTTACAGCGCTAGATATAACGATTGGAGGCATTTTACTGTTTAATATTAGCCGTGGTTTTGGTCTTCGCTTTCTCGTCAGTTAGCGGTTATTGGCCTCTCATCTCGCAACCGTGTAACGTTCTGGGGGAGGAAAACTCGAAGAGGTGATTACGGGTCGATTGAAGTTCGTTTGGATGTGTCGGTAGCGCTGTGTTAGCTAGGCGCAAAATTTTTTTGGGCAATGCGTGTCGAGGCGTTCTAGTCCAATTCAGAGGAGAGGCCAGGACAAAGCCACCCAGATTGGGATGTAAACGACTTCATTTGGCCAGTGTATGTGCACTTTACCTACGCACACATTTCGTGGACTTTTTTTTTTTGTGAGTTGCGTAGGCAGACATGCTCTCCTCTGCCAGTACTTAAACCTCCTGTTCCCCCTGCACCCAACCGCCTCTCTCTTCCCTCCGCATAGACGTCAACATATTTTCCTTTCCCAAAATGCTCGGGCGGCTTCTTTCTTCTTTCCTTTTTTCCTTCTTCTTTTCCATAGTCGTGTTGGGCTTTATTGGCTCAGCAATTATGTCAATCTTCCACGGTGTGGGAGGACTCCTTCTGGAGCTTTGTTTGCTGTTCAGTGGCTGGAACGGTTTTTTCCTTATCCTTTACTTGGTTTAATATTTGCTAATAAAGGCGATTTAGATCTAGATGTGGGGGAGGCCTTAGGCTCCGAGGCTGTCGATGCCTCTTCGTCTGGAATTCTACCTGGGGGTGAATTCGTATCTGTTGAAAGTCGCCTTGAAACTTCTATGGGTATTATGGCTCAACCTCGTTTGAGTGCCGTGAGCCGAGTGTTGAGGTGGAGGCTCAATCACGGGCCCTACCTCTCCGACGAACCTCTAGAGTTGCCAGACTCTGGGGAATATATTGCGACGAGTGATGATGAGCAATCCACCGTCTTGTCTGCCTTCGAGGCTTTCTCTGAAGGGTATGAATCAGATGCGTGGTCTGTATCCGAGGAATATCCCCAAGACCTGTCAATCTCTTCTGCCATTCTCTCCTCTCCGGGGGGCCTGTCTGATGTCTGTGACTCAGATGCAGAGTCATGTGTGATTGAGGAGTGGCATCGTGGCTCGCTTCTTGGTGCTTCTTTTCAACCTCTTTCCTCCACCTCTATGCTCCCTCCTTTCTCTTTTGGACGCCTGCCTTCCCCTCATTCTATTTTCCGCTCCTCCTCTCCCGCGTCCTCTGCCCCCCCCTCCATTTCCATTTCTTCCCCTCCCGATTCCACCGTTTGAGGGCGGTGTAATCTCGGACTTGAAAGTGGGGTGTGGGACGCTCTGCTGCTGGATCAGGTACTGTCGGGCGGTGGCTGGGGTGCGAGATATGGAGGTAAGATAATTTATCGTGACAATTAAACCATTTTGTGTTTAAAATATTTTATATAGGCATATTTGGAGAATCCGGTGCTCTCGGAGGATGGGCAATAGGCGATCACGTCATATGGAAGGTAGAACTTTGTGGTATGGAAGGAAGGCCATTGTGGTAGGGTGAGGTGATATTGAATCCCTTGATAATATATGCCAACTAGGATATCGGAAGTTTCCATGTGGTTCGGAGGTGAGCCCCCCTTTGAACTTTTTCTAGACCTGGGTTCCTGTGGGAGGGGCTGGGAAAATTAACTATGAATGGTGGGGTTTGGCGATGTTCGCAAATTGGACACATTTCATTTCTTGCTGATTTCTAACGCTCTGAGGCTCACTTTTGGTGTATTTAGGTGCCACAGGTTGGGCTAGCACCTTGACGCGGTGCCGTGGGTTTTCGCTAAAATCAATCTAGTTAAAGTACTGTACTTCAATCCGGCGACCCGAGTATGGTATTAGAAGCGGTGTTTGAGATATGGGGGGAATGAAGGGGGTGTGCAGGATAAATTTTCTGTCTATCATGACTTTGGAATACATCTCTGGAGGTTCAAGCTTTAAGTAGTTTACTGCGGTACCTTATACAATGCTAGACACGTAAAGGTACGGGGGTGGATAGCTTTTTACAGGGAACAGGTTTGAATCTCGGGGGCCCTGAGGGGTAATGAGCTTGACACTATATACAATGTCCATTAGAGTGTGGAATGGGAGCTATCCGGATTTAAGGGTTTATCGTGTGTTGCACAATCGGAGTCTTTCCGTTATTACCATAAGAACTCGAAAAAACGATTTTTGTGATAGATGGTCCAAAAATTTCCTCCTCTGGAAAAGGTACAGAAAACTCACCAAAAGACCTACTCTCCGAGACAAATAAAAGCATCGGACCGTGCTAGGAGAGGCGAGTCCAACGTCCTAGCACGAGGATCGTTTATGCGAGTTCTTACGATATGCAGTATTACGTGTACCGCTGCGAGTAGCAAGGGTGCTTGCATTTTGGGCCAAGCATGCGTTCCTGCATGTAGGGCATATCGTACCTTTGCTTGCGTGCAGGTTCGCGGTCGATGTTTGATTTCTTCCTCTCACCCTCTTTGATCTTTTAGTTTCTACATTATTTTGGGCAATAAATCAGTATAATACTCTTGTCTATCCCGCCTCCATGACATGAATCCTAACAGTGTTTCCAAAAGATTTTGGAGAAACGTGATATTTTTTAAATTTCGAAAGCCTATTCCGACCCCTGTGTATAATATATTATACATCAAGTTTTTTATTTTTTATTACCCCTCCTTGTACTGAAATCTCTCAATGCTCTCTATATAGCCTTGACAGATCTCGACGTTGTGTCAGGCACGATGATGTGATACATATACATTTCCATGCATTACGATCACCAATGGGGCTAGCCTTGGGTTTGGGTTAAGATTGAATCTGGGGTCGGAATCCTTGCTCCAAGCTCTTGCCTTATTTCTACATATGATACAAAATGGGCAGCCACCCGCGAGAAACTTCAGTTGGTTTAACTAGCGGATAATTTGCTTCTTCTGCTCCTGCTGCAGTCTGGATACTCTGCCGGGCCTGATGGTTAAGTATGTTGTGGTTAACTTTTGTGAGTTTCGAAGGGTGTAATTCTGAGGTGTTAGTTTGGGCGCTGTCCCATCGCCTTTTGGTAGGATTCCTTTATTGTGAAGTTGTTTCGTGTCATTAGTTGATTTCGTTAAACCATCTTTCTTTTGTCTGGGTTTCCGGAACTGGCTGGGGGGACGTGGAATACCGTTAGCACGGGGTACTGTACAGTACCGTGCGGTATTAGCTGTCATCGGAGATGCTGCACCGCATACAGGTACCGTACTCTCGGCATCCCGGGAGTCTCTGGTAGATCGGAGGGGTTTTTGGGATTCTCGATGGAAAGCGTTTGAGCAACGTTGGGCGGGGGGGTTCTTGTGTCCCATTAGCGGAGCTTTAGTCAGTTGTTATTCCCCACTGCATCTTTTTATTATCCCGGCATCGCAATTCCTTTAGTCTATTCCTCCCGCAACCTGAGCAACAAATTTAGCTGGGCTTTATTTCATGGATTCCAGATTGTGCCGGGATGTATTGCTGTGATGAAATGTTTGGAAGAGTCCCTATCCATGGTAGTTCTACGAACCCAGGGAGGCAATGTTCATGTTATAAGGGGGTGTGCTAATAGTGCCGCGTGCCGTGTGAGCCACATTTCTTGGTTACTCCTAGGAGGTTCGACGTTGCATCTGGATTGACTTGACGGCGATATTCGAGTGCTTGAGGAGCTTTATTGGGGGTGGATTGACTGGGGGATTACACATAGTCTGGATTGTCCGATCATGGTATGCTTTGTGAAGGTTTACCCCCCGGGGATGGGAAAGGCTTCCGGCGGCTTGTGT